CCCGGATATGTTGTCAGTTTTCTCTTGCCTTGCCTTAAACAGCTGGGTCGCATGGAAGTCTAGTGTTCTCTTTTCTATATACATGTTTTTCAAAAATTGTCTTAGCTCTACCCAATCTTTGTAAGTGTCGGTGGGCTATCGCAGTCCGCGGTTCCCCACTGATCCTCGTTAATACGAATTTGTACAGTCTACCTCGGTGGTCAGGGTTCACCACCTCGAACGCAGTGTCTATATTGGAAATGAAGGTTGACACTTCTTTCTTGTTACCACTAAATGGCGATACTAACTTCAGTGCCTCGCTTACGCTAATATACTCTTTGGCCATATTTTCTGAGCCATCTGCTTCCAGGATTCGAGTACTTATCCTACTGGCACTCATAGACATTTAGCAAGGACTCACCGTTGTGTCTGGTCCCTGTTGCTACTGCGGCGGCTGCGTTCCTTCACTCTCATTCCCTGGGTTGTTTCGCTGTGCCGTCTCCCTTGGATCCTCCGCGTTCACGCTTAACGTCTACTCCTTGTTGCGGCGTTTCCGTCAGCTTATACCCCACACACACTGACATCAGTTTTGTTGTATCCCGGGCTCGGAGTACAGGTTGGCAGGGCGAGCGGTCCCTCAGGAGTCTAGTAGGGGTGTCTGTAAGCTGCTGCTGTGGGCGAAGTAGTACAGTTAATTTATTACCAGGTTAATACACAGAGTATGACTGCCTTAGCAAGTGCAGTAGCCTACTTTCTAATGAGAGAGACGCACTGTCCCACACATGGGTACAATTCGTCGCTTGAATCAGAGAAGTGCTGAGGGCTGGCAGTTACAGAGTATTTATACAGATTTTAAGGATGCCAACCCTTGCTATGTTTTTGGTTTACATGTAACATTTGCTTATACAAAGTCACCGTAGGGGTGCTTTCCATTTCCAGTACTCTTCCAATGTATTTATGAACTTTGGTGGGTGCTTATGAGTTTCACCCAAAAGGTTTGTAATATTCAATAACATCAGTATTCACTTTCTTTACTTTGCCCCTGACCAAGGCTCAGAATAACAACGAGAGAGTATTGTTCACAAATTGTTTACACAAGATTCCATTTCTACATTGAAAATAACATATGTATGGCTATTGGCTTTACAATAAACATTTATCTGTTTAGTAATTCCTGTACTTGTAATAAACATTTATTGCGCTCATTGCGCCTATAACATTCCTTTTTGCAACCCTTTCAAAAAATTGTATAAAATAAACAAATTTTAATGGAATAGAAGAAATAATAAGGTTAATGAAACCTACATTAGCTCGTGGATACGATGGAATTACAGACAAGTTGAATTAATTTTTTTTTAAATCACTTGGTGGGGTTTTACATGTCAGCAGAGTGCATCGTGTTGTCTGTAATGTTGCCAGAATTGCTTTGCATATTGGCATATACAGGGTGTTCCAGGAGGAACATGGTATTAGTCAGTCTAAGGAAAAAGTGAATATGTACATGTCTTATTCTGAGATAGAGCTATTTCATTGTACACTGTGCAGATGAGCAACAAGCCATCTCCTTACACGAGTTGCAAAGTGCTTCGATGTTGACGGTGGAATTTTAAAAAATGGATTATACTAGGTAAACTGCACCAACATTTTTCACTTGAACAATAAATACCGGTATTAGAAACATTACGTAATATCTCTTTCTTATCAACAGTTTTGCAGCTGTACAGTGAAATAGCTCTTATCTGAGAAACCACCGGGAGTAGGAGATTTGTACACGTACACTTTTCTGCTTAGAATGGCAGATACTGTGACCTTACAGAATATTGACCTTTCCTCCTGGGACATCCTACTTACCGGATTCATGTAGAATTGTTTTTTAACCAGTCAAGAAGATTTTTCTGTGTTCTTATCTCTCCCGCAGTGGCACATGAAAGTCTCCTGGAAATTTAAATTTGTCACTGCAGCATTTAAAGTTGGCACTGACTTCGCTGACAAGCGGCAGTCTCTCGGTCGGTATAGTTCACTTTCGGACTAAAAGCCACGGAATTTAGTTTCGCATTTAATGTTATAATTTTTGCTTCCTTTTAAAAATGCAGTACCTCAGTCGTGAGTCGTCATAAAACTATGGAACAGAACGCTCTGAAAGACAATTATCGGACTTAAGATTCCTGACCACTCACCTACAGCTAGTGCAGAGCTCATGAAAAGGCAGGTCTATATATCCACTACCCCCATATGCCTTCATGAGCACAGGGACTTTACCATTTACCCCAGAGCTGACATTTTGTTTACCACCGGACAAAATTTTCACATTTATTTTGCTCTAACTACTATATTCTCTCGCTTGTAACAGTTCATAAAACACCTCATCAATTACAAGCATCTTCTTGCTAGGACCTTTCATATTTAGCTGAAGGAACTCAAACCCATGACAGCTTTCAAGCAATCAGCAACTTCAGTAAATCTCGATTAACTTTCGTTTTGTATTACAGTCTGTTTGCCACATGAGAATGTGAAGTATCAGTGAGTCCCTTGTTATATGGGATCCATGTTCACAGAGCAGTTAGTAGGAGATGCAACAGATGTCGCGAGCTCTTGTCGAGTTTACAAGGATGTCTGCATTAGGTGGCAACACCGCTCAAGGCCCTAATACAGATAAAATAGTAAGCACATACTGAACGCATTGGGTGCTGTCCAAAGAATTTTTTCCTTATGGTGAAATGGAAGGTTAATTTCTTTTGGGTGTTTCTTAAATTAATATATTTTCAGCTGTGAAAGTCGCTATTTATTGTGAGAATCATACGGGACACAAAAAAACCATAAGATATTAATGTTAAATTGGGTGGTGCATAGTATAATTACCGCTGTTTGCTGTTACAAGCGCCTAGAAGAAAGGAATAAGTGAGACAAAACAAACCACACTTTTTACAGCCACCAAATCGATACACCCTGTATTTGCTGAAAATGTAATATCGTTATGTAAAAGGACTCAGTGGCTTTCTTAATGTCACTGGGATGGCGATGAAAGATCAACTGTGCTAGCATTTAACACCATTAACCCTTGGAACGGTGCCATCCTCTCTCTNTTTTGTTTCCTCTTGAGGAATCTGTGGTGGGGTGACATACTTGAACCCCCCCCTCCTTGCCAGTTGATAGGTCTCTGTGTGGGGTCTGAGGGACTGAGACCCTGTAATTTAACAAAAGGTTTCTGAAACTTCTTGAAAAGAGACGACTTGTCAGGAATGGTATGTTGCTTGAAAATTGTAAATGATTTGGTGAATTACAAAATGGATTTTATGATTATATCACAAGTAGAATACTCTTTTGAGTGGTAATTAATTTATTCACAAAGGTGACATTAACATCTATTGAGATCTTATTTCAGAACAGGTTATTGTCTGTACAGTGTCTTTGAATTTTATAGTAACGCTCACTCAGCACCAGCTGAAACTGGTTTCATGAATCTTGAAGCATTAAAGCAAAATAATAATTTGCATGGCGTTGAGATTGTCAGCCTTATGTGTCCGCAGACTTTAAACCCCACGAAGATTTCTTGCACTCATTTCTGTTAGAGGCTGAGTCAACCTCAGGGCCATAGTGCGGCTGGAAGTATTAGGTCAGTTGAAAAATCCAGTGACATCGGGAATCGAAACTGTGACCCACAAGCTTGTAGCATACTGCCTCAACCAACTGCTCTACCGCATGCCCCCGTATGTGGTGTTGTACAAAGTAAAATGCATCTCTTCAGTGGTCAGTATCACCAGCGTTAGGGGTGGGTATCGAACTCAAGACATGAAGTAGTGGTGACGCACTACGGTAAAATGTTTTTCCCCTTCTTTTTATAGCTAGTAGGGTGCGACTAAGTCCCTCGTACTGCTGCCACTTCTGGCCTATTGTATCAGGCCAAGAAGATAGGGGAGGCTGATTCTGGAGCAGTTGGTGGAATGAAGATTAGCAGGGGAAACCGAAGTACTCAGCGATAACCTGCCCCAGCGCCTCTTTGTCCACCACAAATCTCACGTGACCAGACCCGCGATCGAACCCGGGCCGTTGCGGTGGCAAGCCAGCTACTAACCGCTTGAGCTATGGCGCAGCCGTACGGTAAAATGGTTACTGGCCTCACTTTCATATTCTCGTTCCATGTTAAAAAACATGTCGAGTTACTTGAATCTGAAATCGCTCCAGATGCACACTTGTCAATAATGTTCAGTGATACTGAGTGCAATCAGATATCGCGGACTGGCTTCATAAAGATCCATTGTTTCACTTACTCATCAACGTAAAGAACTGAAGCAGCACGTTCCTCCGAAACGTCGACAGGCTTAAACCGAACTACACAGCGCTAAATTCCAGAAGATTGTACTAATCATAGATCAGCTTCAGATTACGGTTTTTTGGAATGTGACGCCGTGTAATTTCCTAGATAGGAACCAGCATTTCGAAGGAACCTACTGCTTCCAACTGCTAGCTTCATTTAGACGGGTTTAATCTGGTTGCCGAACTGAGTGGCTAGTGCTAGAAGGATATCAGTAAAATCAGAAACCACTGTTACAGTATATTTTCTGAATATTATTATGAACATAAAATGTTATGATACAATGAGTACAAAATCTAATGTTTTTAACAAATAATAATAATAATATGTTCAAATATTTATAAATTACAATTAATATGTTTAAGAAGATTTTCTTAACGTGTTTATACCAAAATGGTTTGTGTCCTTTTTATTTATTCTCTTTGAAGGAAGCCAAGCCTCTGCCACCTTGTGGTTCTGTTGTTTGGAGAATAGGATCCTTCAGTGTCGTCTGTTGTTGTCGAGGCGCGCTGTGTTCTTAAACAAACGGTGGACGTTCCCAGTCCTCTTTGTTCCCAATCGGTCCACGGCCTCAGCTACCAGCTTCACACAGCAAAAGGTCACAACGGTCACAATAACTGAACGGTAGCAGTCCTCTAACTAATTCACTCACTCACCAACTGACTGCACTGCACTGACTGACTAATTCAATTGGTCCTTAAAGTGGCCATCATTTTCGTCGTAGTCGTCGTGGTGGTCGTCGTCTTCTTCCTCTACTTTTAACGGAATTGTCTACTGACATTGCTGGTTCCTGAATGTGGGGAGGTTGTTCTTCCTCCTCCATCTCGGCTGTCCTGGTGGAATCACTGACTAACTGATTGCAACATTCTCCTTGAGCCTTCACAATCATGGTAATTTTATCCAACTCATTCCTTAATTGAACAAGTTTTTCGTCTCTTTCCTTCACCATAAGAGAGGATGTGTGAAGCTCCTTCTGGACCTGTGCACGTAGTTCTACCGATTTTTGCACTTTCGCCAGCACGTCTCTCATCTCTAGCTGTACACATTCCCACTGGTGTACTGACATCTTGGACTGTGCCGGTTTCTGTGTTCTCTCATGTTCCCTGTACGAAACTCGCCGAAGGTGGCACCACACAGTCACACACGCAGTAAGTGTGATCAGGCTGAGGAACAGGGGACCACCAAGTAGCATCCAGAAATACTCGCGTTCTTGTGATGTTCTCCGTTGAAATGCCCGGGACACTGCATACTCTGCTTTCTTTGTTCTAGCGCAGGTTCCAGCTACAATTCTTTCTGAGTCTTGGAATGGCTGCAAGGCAGTTTCAGGGGTTGGGATGGGTCCAGGTGCTGCTATAGTTTCTGGTACTGGTACTGGTATTGGTTCAGGTGCTGGGATCGCTTCAGGTGTTGGGATGGGTCCAGGTGCTGCGATAGTTTCTGGTACTGGTAATGGTCCAGGTGCTGCGATGGGTCCAAGTGCCGAGAACGGTCCAGGTGCAGTAGGTAGTTCCAATCCTGGGGTTTTAGGGTATATTCCTCCTTGGGGAAGTACCAAAAAAGATACGCATGCTATAATCACGGCTGATATTTTCCACATTTTCGTGGCTTCTTCTTACAAGAGTACGAAATACTATTTAGTACGTCTAACACGGGTTTCGTTCAGACCGCTAAATCCAACGAAGACCTGGTGTAGCTATTTCACGTTCACTATTCTACACACTCCGTAAATTACACTGCAAGCGCCGAGTTTTTACTAGTCGTTCCTTAGCAATGGCACACTGTCACTAGTATATCTCACTGTCGAAGTCAAACTGAAGAATCAAGCTAGCTGCTTCTTTTTATAGCCTGAGCCTGGCCGCGTGTCGCCTGGTGACGTAATGTACTGTGACGTGGCGTCTGAGCGCTGACGTGGCGGCATCGGAGCGTTGACGTTACCCAGCGGTGACGTAACACCTTTGGAGCGTTGTAGGTGGTTAACTAAACCACTTAACAATCCGAACGGCGTCTTAAGTGGCAAGAAACCTAGCAACAACTTTTATTTACAGAGCGATTATCTAGCAACGCCCTGTGTTTACAGAGCAATTACCTAGCAACGGCTTCTCTTTACGAAGCGAATACCTAGCAGCAGCTTATTTCGCTGTCGTTGCCAGGTTACGGGTATACATGCATAGTTTTGTAGATACTGGAAGCGTCGTGAAATAACATGAAGAGTAATCAGCTGATATGTCTCTGTAATGAACATGAATAATGTTTTTTGTTACGTATGAACTGCATTCTTTTCCTGGCACTACAGGCCCAGTGGCCCTAGGCCTACCTCAATGAACTTATCCCTTCACTTCGATTTTTCTAAATCTTACCCATTCGGTAGGACTCCTTGGGCGGGTGATCAGCTCGTCGCAAGGCCTCTACCTGTACACAAACAAAAGCGCAACCGAACATCCAAGCCCTGAGTGGGATTCGAACCAACGATCCCAGCTTCCGAGCGAGCGAAGACAGTGCATGCCTTAGACCTCTCGGCTATCATGACGATTGTGGCCGACAGGAAGTGTATTTATGAACGTAATATTTAATAACTAAACTGCTTCATGGTCTTAAATCTCTGAGGAAAGTTCTTTGAATTTCCATAAATGTAAAGTAGACCTATCGTGACAGCATTATGAGTGTGGGGGAAAACTGTACTGATTAAATGCGTATTTCAAGTACAGCGCGAATAATGTCAAAGACACTCAGATGGATACTCCACAGCGCTAGTGTCGGCCAGAGAATGAAGGTGCTTAAGTTAGCCATTTTGTTTGTGAGGTGTGTGTGATGTGAAAGAGTGTGGGAGGTTATTTTACGGCTTGCAACGACTTAAAAATTAAAAAGCGATAAAATCTGTTTGAGCAGTGGGGTCGGAAAATATATCGGCATAAGATCTGGGATCTGCACCCACAGCCACAAGACTGATTACATTTTGCTTGAACTTAAGGTTATGCAGGACGCATTCAGTTTTTGCAGCTGGTTACCGCAGAATGTGCAAGTGCCATTACACAGTGTAAAAGTATTTGCGTTTATGCACGGACATGGAGAAACTATTCACTTGAGAACTGAAGAATTTGCTACGATCCTTGAGTCATGCTTAAAGACAGAAGGGGCAGTGTTTTAACAGTTTTTATAGAATGTTATAAGTTTGTGTTGGGACCGGGGAAACTTGTTACCCTGCACTTGCAAGCAGCAAGTTTCCATCTCAGCTGAAAGCCCACTAGCAGTATGAGGCTCCTAATTTAAATCTTCTGGCCTCTTTCTTTGTTAACAGTTCCTAAGAGACGTTGGTATTCACTGGTTGGTGCCCACTGTTCTTTTATTGTGGAGCAGTGAGAATGGAAGTAGTGTCACCCTCACCTTCAAGGAGTTCATGAACTTCAGGCTGAAGATGGACAATCTCAAAGATTCTTCCTTGAATGCCGGAAAAATGCTTCATAATACAGGTATTTGTTATGCCAGAAGCTGTATGTGTAGGAATAGTAGAATCCTGTCTCTGTAAGGGTTAGAAGGGCACAGTATTTCAGAGGAAGATATTACAATATTATATTTAAGCATCCTGTTTCACTCACACAATATATGAGACAAATTCTGTCTTAAGTGCACCAATTTAATTGTAGTTCTTTCTTCTTTCCTTCCTCTACACTACATGTTTCGCACCCTAAATGACCATCATCATGTGTATATTCTTACGTAGCTGCTACAGTGCCCATAGTTTAAAGTTTAAAACACCAGTCTTTCCAAATGTATGTATGTATAAAATCTTTGTTAACCTACACACGTCAATTTGATTTCCAAAATTGGCACTTTTTAAAACTTCAATTCAAATTCAGTTCAATTCAAACTTAAATTATATTGTTGCACTTAAGACGGAGTTTGTCTCATATAGAAGATATTACGTTGAAGAGTCAGCTAAGCAAGAAACCAGGAGAAGCAGACAGCAAATTTTGTGCTTAGCTTTTTCTACAGACCTGAAAATTGTGGTCATATGTCACTCTGAAGGGGCATGCAGTAGTGTTGTTGGTTGAGGCACTATGCTGCAAGCCATAAGGTCACAGGTCGCAATAAGGTCATTGGATTTTTCAGTTGACTTAATCCTTCCAGCCACACTATGGCCCTGGTGTCAAGTCAGCCTCAAACAGAAATGAGTACCAGGAATCTTCCTGGGGGTAAAGGGCAGCTGGCATGTAAGGCTGACCTCACCGCCATCTGTGATCTAGTTGTTTTAGAAAATGTGGGAGCCTGGACATCTCAAAATCGCTCTGGGCCTCTACGGCCTGTTACATAGCCGGCTTTTACATTTTTTACCTGTGTCCCTCTGAAACGTTCTCCAAACCACATAGCATTACAAGCCAGAAGACTATACGCCTTATAGTCACTGTCTCAGTAGAGCACCAGAGCTGGCCTGTATGCTCTGAGGTAGAGGAAGATCACTTACTTCTGCCAGGAATTGGGTCTTCAGCTGTCCGGCCTGTAGACTGAGCTATTAGTGTTTTCCTATACCATGCTAAGTGAAAGACCATCTTCAGTTTGCACACTGATGTATACTGTACTCCATGTTGGGTTCCCAGTGCAGGGAGTGCTGTGTACATAGCCCATATGAACAGTGCTGGAGTGGCATCACTGAAGAAGTTGCTGTTCTGAGTGATGGAGGATGCGGGACCCAGCTCACCGCATCCATGAAGGTCCTACCTCACGCCCCCCTCATGGACACGCTTTACTTCGCATCAGGGAAAGATCGCCAGGGAGATCCCCAGTTGCCTCCACTAGACGTGCACGGAATGTCGGCAACTAATCGTCAGGTAAGCTGTTTGGGAATTTGAAACTTAAAGTGTTTGCATACTTACTGTTCAGCACATTGTGAGAGTTGTGTTGCTTTGTGCTGCTATCAGTGCGTACACTAGTAGGGAGATTGTACTGTTTGTTTGAGGTGCTGGCGAGACTTGGACGAAGAAATTTCCAGCCCAGGTGACACAAGAGTCACGTTATAAATGTACCACAAGAATGAAAGTAGTTCCACGTTACTGTCCACATCAGTGTAACGGAGCTCATCAGCTTTCAGCTGAGAATGGCGCATCCCTTCGAGTCCTGTCGCAGCTGTGAAGAGTTCCTACAGGGAAGGTGCGTGTGGTGTTGGTTGTGATTTTGACTGTGTTGAGAAACACAGAATTGAAAACGCTGATTTTAATGTTGAGATTCAGTGGGTAATGCACTGAACTGCAGAATGAGGACTTCCATAATTTGTACCTTTAACAGTATCGTTTTATCAGGTTTACTGACTCGAGGACGAGATGATCTGGGCACTTAGCATGTAAGGGTTTGCTGAGAAGTGTGGACATTAGTTAGGTCACAAGACCTGAAAGGAAGACACTATCTGGGAGACCTGGGTGTAGATGGTAAGATACTCCTGGGATAGGTCTTAAAGAAATAAGGTCATAGTGTGTCAGCTAAAATTACTGACAGGGACGAGTAGCAGGTTTCTTTGAACACAGTAATGAACCAGCATGTTCCATAGAGGATGGGATATATTTTTGAGTGACTGTAGTGGAAGCCTCATTTAATGTTTGAAGATTTTAGGTTTTTCCGACAGGAATTTGAAATGGAGGTTCCCCTTAGCTCTTCAAGAAGGGTATTGTACTTATGTGAAATGTTTTCATGTTATGACTTATATTGCACATATCACATACTGTTTGTGAATCCAAGTAGACAAGACTGTAATGTATCATTATGTACCCTTGAGGCTGGCGCTGAGCAGACGACAATGTAAAGTGCTGTTCTTGATGCTGCGAGTTGTCCGTCGCACCACTGTGCGCCATGTTGACTTCACACCTAGGAAGAATAGTGCATCGTGCATATGATGTACAGAGGGACGTGTGTATCATGGCAAGAGCTGCAGCTCGCTGTATTGTCTGAAGTTGGAAAGTACACAGAGGATGCTAGAGGAAGACAGATACAATAAACTCTTGCTAATCTCGATTAATTGGGCAGAGAGGTCATCTGGTTAAGTGATAATCTGGACTAGTGTAGCAAAAGGTAGGAAATGTAACGATGTAAGTATTGCTGATGAAAATAAATAACAAAGTATCACTTTATAGGCTTTATTTAAAAAATATACAAAGACACTACATGTATTCATAAATGGTATACCCTGTAACCGTCCACCGACTTACAGCTGCCACGACTTTCGCCCAAGCTTGAGTTCTTTATCTCAGGGATACAGGTGCTTCGGAGATGGGAGTGGAACACACTTTGAGGTTTATGAATCCAGGCGCTCCAGAGCACACCGTGGATTGCAGTTTTAATTTAAAGTTTCATTAATCATCAAAATGTACGAGGGGGTACTCAAAAGAAACCGAACTAATTTTTTTTTAACTTATTCAAATTTTAAGCACAAACCTTCAATCCCCTTCAAAGTACTCTCCACTTACACTAATACACTTGTCTAGTCTCTTATTCCATTTTTCAAAACATTGTCTAAATTCATCTTTTGAGATGCTTGACAGCGCCTCTGTCGTTTTTTCCTTCACCTCAGCAACATCAGCAAAATGCTTTCCTTTCATGTCTCTGTTCATTCGA